AAGTAACATCTCTGTATTTGGGATTAAGACCGCTGGTGTGCTTCATTGGCAACCGAGTTGTCCCTGTTTCATTTTTGCCGTAGAGCACTGGTGTCGAGGAAAACGAAAGGGTGGCGTTTCTGAGCTGCTCAACAAATCCAACGGAGCTAGTCGAGAGGCCCTCACAGCTAAACAATAAAGTTCGTGATTGAATTATGGAGCAATATGTTGCACCTTGCCAAATTCATGGTGTCTAAGAAGTCCTGGAACAGCACCAGCGCAAAGGTAAAGCGCGAGGCATGCATACTCGTCGCGGCGGTTGCTCTGGCATGCCAACTTTTCCCATGAGCGCTTGCGCGCCCGTTGGTGGCGCTGGTGTGCTTGAAAATGGTCTATTGTGACAACCAGTACATCGATGAAACTGGTGATTTCAAGAAAAAGAGTTAAACACAAACATGACACAACAAAACGTCGCGTGGCCTCGACTGCCCTCGCTAAACACGCGAAATCTACAGATCACCAAATAGATTTGTAAAACGCCTGTGTTCTGGACAAAGAAAAAACTCGCATATTCCCACAAGGGGGAGACTCGTGTAAGTGCGTCACAGAGTGGTGGGGATATCGTGTGAATGTTGCGTAACTGGGTAAGGTTTGGGAATGCTTAATTGTTATTTCGTCTTCATTAATCGTATGTATTAAATGAAGGAGAAGCATTGCCTTTAACGAGTGGTGGAACACTGATGTTGGGTTGTGCCCCACTACTGGTTGAATGTCCTGTTGCTTCCGTCGCATCTACCCCAGTCAAAGCAAAGTGTCAAGTCATGCGAAAGCCAAGTTAAGACGCCCTTGACTGAATTACGAACGCCTGATCCAATGCCTACACATGTGGGGTGGCCAGTGAACAGTTGTGCAGCGCAAGCCAGTTTTTACAAGCAGATGCTGCCTGCGTCGGCCTTGCAAGGCGATAGGGGGGGGGGGGGAGAGAGAGCGACAGTTGGCACGAGCATGCGGCATGAAACGCAAACACGCACAGTTGGGGTGTAGACACCATCGCCAACACCGGATTTGCGAGTAGGTGCGACTATAAAATGCTCCGCACTTAAAAGAAGCTTGCGTCTAGCCTGCACCTGGAATCCAGATACACAGACGACTGTACATACACTGTACAGGAGTGATGAGACACTTATGACAATGCACTATCGCTGCTTATGTCATGCATTTATTTAGGCATACTTAAGTATGCTGTGCTTTTCTTATGGCTTTTATTGTGAACAAGGCTCTCTCCCACATCGGGTGCCGAAACATCAGTCAACTTCGTGTTCCATGGGTCAGTGTACCCTTTCGCGTTTACACTAAGAAACAACAGAAATGCACTCTTTCTTTTTTTCCACACCTCTTCAAGCAGCTCACTGTAGTTGCAGTTGGAAGACCGATTTTTTAAACTTTGATCAATGGTAATGCTTATTTTTGTGACGGCCACCCAGAACTGCTTGCTGTCAGTTTCCATGACCTGGCAAGGTCTTTCAGAAATTCAGACTTTTTCAGAAGGGTCCGAATTCCCCGACTTTTCGGGGATTTTAAGGTTTTCCAGGTCCTCGCCGCGGTGGTCTAGTGGCTAAGGTACTCGACCCGCAGGTCGCGGGATTAAATCCCGGCTGTGGTGGCTGCATTTCCGATATAGGCGAAAATTTTGTAGGCCCGTGTGCTCAGATTTGGGTGCACGTTGAGCCCCAGGTGGTCGAAATTTCCGGAGCCCTCCACTACGACCTCTCTCATAACCATATGGTGGTTTTGGGACGTTAAACCCCACATATCAATCAATCAAGCTTTTTCAGCTTGATGGATTCCCTGAATGCCCTAGTATGATGCCAGTCTAACCCAGCGACTCAGGGGAATAGCAAAACGGCTCTTTGTCTGCTACAGCACTTTGGGTTCAAGGCCCAGCTTAGCGCTGCTCCAATGTTCTTGTCATTCAGTGATTGTAAAGAAAACCTGCACATTTCTGTGACGTGATTATTTTTGGCTCTAGTGATCACTAGGAAGTGGAACGAAGCAAGCAAGTGTAAAGGGAGAGGGTGTATTCTTTAGGAAAAGATAAAAAGATTCTTAATGGGGTGTGGAGTGCACGATAAAATGTCTCTAGTGATCACTAGGAAGTGGAACGAAGCAAGCAAGTGTAAAGGGAGAGGGGGTATTCTTTAGGAAAAGATAGAAAAATTAAGAAATGGGGTGTGGAGTGCACGATAAATGTCTCCCATGTGAGGACACCTCAACCGATACACTCCCAGAGGAATGGGAATTGAAAGGAGTGAGAGCAAAAAAAAAAAAAGTAAGGTGAAAGAGAAGAAATAGAGGTGAGAGAAAAAATGCTACATAAAAAAAGCCTGGAGGGGGGGTAAGAAAAAAACCTAGAGTGGTAGGTGTAGAAGCCCACAATTCACCATAAAGCGGCTCATAAAATTCGCTTGGCATATGCAAAAGGCATGCTTAAAATTGCCCAAATTATTGCAAAAACTAGGGTGTGAATATTCAAATACATGAATGAATACTACAGTGTTCGAATTCGCTTTGATTCTAATTATAGGCACACATGGTACAGAATCCGTACTTGTCACCTTTCCGCGAAGCCACAAAGCACAGAAACTCCGCTGTGTGCCAGTACAGAAACACTTGCAAGTGCTTCTCTGCTTTTGACACCACTATCGACCTCCTAGCTGAACTCTGGGAAAGAGGCAACCCCCCCAACCACGAAACACTTACAATTGAGGCCCAGGGAAGCTGCATAGGTCTAGCGCGCAAAATGAGGGGGCCAAGACAGAAAGACTGACAGGTTGCAGTACCTTTTCTCTCGCATTTTTTCGAAACAGTGACGATCGTGTCTTGCGGCTGCCCGCCTTGGCTCACATGCACAATACCATAGTGCCTAGAATATACTTAGGAGTACTCTACAGTATGGTTACAATGAACTATAAATGTAATAGCGAGTGCTTTCCGCAGTATTGCAACTCTTGCAGCACAAAAAGCTGATGTACGTGCATGATTTAAAAAAAAAAAGACACCTCAGCTGTGGCGGCCACATTTCGGTAGATTAAGATACCTTTCGTACTATCAGAAGATTAGTTCAAAATTCGGGAGAGTTGGCAGGTAAGTACTTTTCTTTTCCACACTTCTCAAGATAATACTAATAATTGTTGGGGTTCAACATCCCAAAACCACTATATCATTATGAGAGACGCCGTAGTAGAAAGCTCCAGAAATTTCGAGCACCAGGGGTTCTTTACCTTACACCTAAATCTTAGCGATTGGGTCTCAAGCATTTTCACCTCCATCGAAAAATGCGGCCACCGAGGCTGGGATTCGATCCCGCGACCTGCGGGTTAGCAGCCAAGTGCCTTGGTGACTAGACCACCGAGGCGGGTACCTCTAAAGAATCGCAATGTGTGGCGCTGCGCTAAGCGGCGCCATGTCCCTGGTGCCCCCACATAAAAGAAAAAATAGTGCCTTTTTCTTAAGAAACACTAATACTACCTGGCATGTCGGGAGCATGCAAAGATTCAAGGCGCGAGTGACAGTGGTTCCATGAGCGATGATTGAGACTCAGTGAGGCCTCCAAAACTATATACATAATAACCCTTCCACTCTGGAGAAAATGAAGAGGGCAGCATCCTGCTTTAGGTACTGCCACTTGCATGCCAAACATAAGCAAGACAGCAGGGCTCGTGTCATAGTCACTATCCTTGAAGTGTTCAAAGCACAAAAACTCTCGCTTTGAAAAGTCGCACTTAATTTGCCAGTGTCAGCTTGAGCACACTATTATTTTGGTATCGGCAAGTCGCCAGCACCAAAAGGCTGAGTGAGAACGCTGCTAAAGAAAGGCACTCTTCAATGGTGCCAATGGTCTACAAGTCTATTAGGGCCATGCATGCTCCCGGGCAAACCATGCCAGAACTCCCCAACCACTGCAAAGTGACATGCTAAAGAGCACGACCAGCTGCTCATGCACTATACACAGATATAGATGTGGTTGTGCACTGTCTTTTGTGCTCCTTATTTTGTTTGCCGAATGATGAAACCAAAGGCAGACATGCTTTTTTTAGGTGTCATTTGATGGCGCATGATCAATTGTTCCCTTTCACAAGGTGCAACAGTGTACTCAGCTGACCACATCAGCTGCTATATTCTGCAAAATATGCAAAGACCGATGCCAGCATACTGCATGCTAGTTTCTTGTGTTATAATTCAAGCATGGACAGAAGCTTGTGCTTAACACAGGGTAACAGCTGCGAACAACAGTGTCCACTGCCACTCCACTGTGCTAAGCAAGTGTGATTCGTTCTCTATGCTTGTGAAGTAAAACTATAATGCCTACGCATGGAAAAAAATTACATTCCAACCTTATAAGAGCAATCTGTGAATACCCTGAACTAATGTAACTAGCCAGTGGGCATAATTAGCCGTGCTTCGAGCTGCAACACACTTGAAATTATTACATCACAATTATGTGGAAATCAATAGCCCATTTAAACAAGGTGTTTTATCCAACCTAAACCCTTTGTTTTGTAAAGTTTGTCACATTTGACTCACTCTCACGAATACAGCAGCGAAAATGAAATTCTAACAGCAGCTCAGTTGTGCAAGAACAAACAGGTTGAGGCCTTGTCCTGTTCATCCTTCCAATGATAAAAAAACAGGCACAGATTTCAAAGCGGCCGTCAGAACGGCCTAAATTATGGCTCACGCACCATGCATGAACAACTGAGATATTCCCACTAGGATTAAATCGATCCCGAGAATAGCACGCCGCCCCACGAGCTTGCAAACGATCATGAAGCATCGCGACGATTGATCGAGAGCTGCTGTCAGCCACATGCCTTTCTGCCTGCAAAATGTCGTTCTTGCAGGCAGCAATGGGTGAATGCGGCAATAATCATGTAGTCCATAAGCGAAACTCGACAGCTATTAAGAGCTGCAAAGCATTAGGATGGACACGGGCGGCAAGAGACACGGAAGTAAAAACTTACGCCACGAAGCCTCAGCTTGCAATCACCACACTTCGGCACGCTGCCTGGCTTCTTCAGGTAGAGGTACACCAACTTGCCGCCGGGAGTCTTGGAGCTGCAAACACCGGCGTGGTGTAAGTAGCGAAGCATGCCAATCGCCAAATGCAGTCCACACACTTTCTCCTCTTTTTAGAAGCAGATCAAGCTCGATCCGCCCGTTGACAGAATTCTATTCCCATACATTCTCACTCAGCTCATATTTGCCATTAACAGGACCGCACGTGGACAACAAAAACGCACACACTTACATTCTCCGGCGGTTCGAGTTGGTGTTGTATGACAGGCGCCGTCGGAGGGTTAAACGCTGCGCCATGGCTTATTTCTGCAAAATATGAATGAATTAGTGCTTTAGGAGAAAGGTGGCGACAAAATCAAGCTATCACCGCGCAATTCAAGAACCGATTACATGGATTTTGAACACGAGCACACGACAGCGCTTACCTAGTCGATGTCGAGAATGGCAGAAAAGGAGAAACGAAAGGAAGCGGAAGTGGCATAAACCAAGCCAACGCCTCCTCTAGAAAGATGCCTGAAGAATGGCTCGCGCTTCCAGCGGAGCTGGCCTGCCTTCAGTTTTAAACAAGCCCTGCACGATGGCGCTCGCGACAGATGCTATTATCGCGGCGGCGGCCGGTACCAGCTAAGCGTTTTTTAGCTGCGGCCCACAGGGGCGCGTCAGTCGAGAGTTGTTCGAGACCTGCAATTGTGCACCACTGTATTAGAGGCTATGCAAAGTGTTGCGTTTTGCACCGTCCGCCACAAGTGACGCTAGCGACCAAAAATATTTTAAAATGAAAGAGGGAAAGAGTGTGGCAGCTGTTTTTATTCTCATGCGGCAGGCATCTTTCTAGAGGAGGCGTTGGCCTCTAGAAAGGTGTCTGAGGAGTGGCTCACGCTCCCAGAAGAGTTGGCCTGTCTTCAGTTTTGAGCATAAGCTGCGCGATAGCGCTCGCGACCGACACAATTGTTTGTTTTTTTTTTTGCCACCTCATGGGGGACGTGCACGTACATTGAACACGCAAGTTTTTGTAGTAGAGCTTAGACTTTCTCTTTTTCGCAGAGCAGGGCTCGGGTTTTGTTATTATCGAGTGAGACAAGTCATAGGAACAATTCGTGTCGGAAAGACATGGTTAAAAAGACTGTAAAGTGTTCAGGATGAGAGGTTGGTTTGAAAGTGGAACCAAGTGTAGAAGCGGAAGGAGAAGAGGCTGACGCGAAGTGTAGGCAATGTGAGGTCGAGCGAAAAATGGAGAAAATGATGGTTGCCCAGAGTGAACTGCTGATGAGAATCACCGAGCTCGAGACTGCGTTGGCGACAGAGCAAGAAAAAACGAGGAATATGGGAGAAAGACTGAAGTCCGCCGAGGAAGCACTAGCCAATGTGAACAGAGGAGCAGCCTACGGAGAGAACAGTAGGGAATCGGCAACCAGAACGGCGGAGAAAAAAGAGCAAGAAAGTTTGGAAAAATCAGGTTCAGCCAGTTCAATTGTCGCAAGGCCCAGCTTCAGCGAAGTAGTGGTGGGGCTGGGAGGGGACAAAGCAGCCGGCGTCACATGTGCAAGTAACCCCCAGGTGCATTACGCTCCAGCTGAAAAGTCACAGCATGTGATAATCACCGGGGACTCGAATTGAAATTGATGCACAGAAGCCATCAAAGAGAGGGTAAGATGTGACAAGAGGGTTGCAGTAGGGGCGTTTCCAGGACGCAAGCTGGAAGCAGTCTTGAGGCAAGCGAGCACAAAACTCAAAACTACAGCTGATAGACAAAACCTTGTGATAATTTCAGGCGGTTTAAACGATGTCTTAAATGAAGATACAGCAGGACTAGCAATCACACTGGCGAAAGGCGTCGATGACATGCGCGCCACTTCTCCTCAGGTACAGGTAGCGATATGCACGATACCGGAGGTACCGGTGCGTGATAGCAACCTGCATAGAGCGGTTGTCAACGCAAACCAAGAGATATCGTGGATTAGTCGAGAGAAAGGCTTTGAGGTGGTGGAAATAAACAGAGATGTGCATAGGTGGGTGGTTTTCAACGAGACAGAATTCACTTCGATGGGCGGCTAGGTCATGAGGTGGGTTGGCGACTTGCAAGACGCACAGCAGCTTTTTTGGGGGGCAAGCGGGCCCTTCGGGGTGCAGGATAGCTAGTAACGAGGAAAACAACCAGGGAGATTCATTTGACAGGTGGTATGGACAGATACGATTCCAAAGTGGCAGCAGTATCTAAGATAGGTAAAGTCCGGGGCAGAAATAGACGTATAGCCACGAGCGCCGAGTCAATTCAGACATAGGGTATATTAACAAGCAGAGTGGTAGGAACAGGCTGAAGTGGAAAGAGATAGAAAAAAAGCTAAGGAAGGAGAGGCCGATGGTATACGGTTTTGTAGAAACACATCTCATGTACATGGAACAACCTCCTAACAATGTGGACTACGCGTAGGAATATTGTAATAGAACAGAAGGCAGCAGAAAGGGGGGTGGTACTGGGGCATTCATTCATTAAAGTACAGCCTGGCAAAGGGTCAAGCAGGAGTGCACGGAACATTTATGGCTAAAAGGGAAAGTGGCAGGGCAAATGACACTCCTTGGTTTCGTGTACTTGTGGACGGGAGCAAAGGCCAAAGAGGAAAACCAGGCAATGGTAGAGTGTATATCAAATGACAATGAGGAGTTAAAAGGAGAGAGTGAGATAATTATACTAGGAGATATGAATGCGCACATAGAAGATATAGATGGGTATAGCGACCCGACAGGCCAAATGATCATGGATATGTGTGAAAGGCTTGATTTGATCATTTGCAACAGTACCGAGAAGTGTGAAGGGCAAAGAACATGAGAGGTGGGAAGGCTGCAGTCGATGACAGATTACGCACTGGTGTCACATAGGATGTATGATAAGCTCAGGGGAATGCACATAGATGAAGGTGGCTCTAGAAGTCTGGGTAGTGATCACAAACGCATCAAGCTAAGTTTTGGAAGAGCAGCAAAAGTGGGAAGGAGACAAGATAAACAAATACAGGAAAATTTTCATTCAGAAAGGCAAATAGAAATTGCTACTAAACAAATTGAGAAAGTAATCACTGAGAATAATAAAACTGTGTGAACGTACGCAAATCTAATTAGACTGTTTGGGCTAGAGCTTGCTAAGGCACGTGACAAGTAACCCCGGAAAAGAAGACACAAGCCCAAGAGTTGGTGGGATGAGGAAGTTAAGAGAGCCATAGCAAAACGTCAGAAAGCCTCTAGGTAACACAGACATCTACCTGTCAGGATTTGAAAGTGCTTGCCAAATGTGCCCCCCCCCCCCCCCATTCTTATTCTTCTAGTTACTCCAATCTTTTGGTTCGGCTCCGCGGTTATTACCTGCCCCAAGTAGACATAGTCTTTTACAACTTGAAGTCCACTATTACCTATCTCGAAGCGCTGCTCTTTTCCGAGGTTGTTGTACATTACTTTCGTTTTATGCAGATTCATTTTGAGACCCACCTTTCTGCTCTCCTTGTCTAACTCCGTAATCATGAGTTGCAATTCGTCACCTGAGTTACTCAGCAATGCAATGTCATCGGCGAAGCGCAGGTTACTAAGGTACTCTCCATTAACTCTTATCCCTAACTGTTTCCATTCTAGGCTTCTGAAAACCTCCTGTAAGCACGCGGTAAATAGTATTGGGGAGATTGTGTCCTCAAGACTGTCCCTCAAGAGGAAGGTATATAACAGCTGTATCTTGCCGGTACTTAGCTACGGAGCAGAAACCTGGAGACTTACAAAGAGGGTTCAGCTTAAATTGAGGACGACGCAGCGAGCAATGGAAAGAAAACTGGTAGGTGTAACCTTAAGAGGCAAGAAGAGAGCAGAGTGGATTAGGGAACAAACGGGGGTTAAGGATATCACAGCTGAAATCAAGAAGAAGAAATGGACATGGGCCGGGCATGTAACGCCTAGACAGGATAACCGCTGGTAGTTAAGGGTAACTAACTGGGTTCCCAGAGAAGGCAAGTGGGTTAGGGGGAGACAGAAGGTTAGGTGGGCAGATGAGATTAAGAAGTTTGCCGGTATAAATTTGCAGCAGCAAGCACAGGACCGGGTTAACTGGCGGAACATGGGAGAGGCCTTTGTCCTGCAGTGGACGTAGTCAGGCTGATGATGATGATGATGATGATGATGATGAACACAGACATGCTAAGCAACGTGGTGAGCCGACAGATGATGTTGAAAGAAAATGGGAAATCTTTCTAAGCTCTAGAAGGGAAGCATCCCTCCTGATCAATGAAAAGATTAGAAGGAAGGGTGCTCAGTGGCTGGCAGAAGTACATAAAAAGGACAGAAAGGCAGCTGCGAAATTTTGGAACCATCTAAACTCCCTATGAATTGAAACAAACCTAGAGCAGAGGTTTATAACTACAGCTCAAGGTGCTAGGCTAGAAGGGGACAAAGCTATTGAATGTATAAGAACAAGGGTGACAAAGAATTTTCAACAAAGAATTGATTTATGCACCACAATAGACAAGGATGAATCAAGTGGCGCAATGGCTGCATTTTCACAACAAGAGTGGGAAAAGGCTGAGAAAAGGGTTCCTAGTAGTAGATCAACAGGCCCAGGTGGCAGTCCAATTATGCTGATAAAGACATTAGGTCCGAAGTCTAAGCAGGCTTTGAGAGAGGCAGTGAGAAAAATAATAATCGATGGAGAAGTTCCCGATGGATGGAAACTTAGCAGACTGAGCATGATCTATAAAGGAAAGTTGGACAAAGCTGACATAAACAACTACCGTCCTATAACAGTGACAACAGTGGTCTACAAGGCTGGCGATGCAGATTATAAAGGAAAGACTGCAGGCATGAATAGAGGATGAGGAGGTGCTGGGGGAACTGCAGAATGGGTTTTGGAAACTCAAGAGGTTGGAAGACAATAAGTTCTCACTGACGCAGTGCATCGAAATAGCAGAAAAGGAACTCAGGCCCCTGTGGCTAACATTTTTGGATGTCAAGGGAGCGTACGAAAGCGTGGTTCAAGAGGACTTGTGGGGAAAGCAGCCACACTGGGTGTGGAAGATGGAGTCACTAATCTTTTAAAGGAAATATATAAAAGTAACAAGATAGTTATAAAGTGGGAAAAAACAGGTATACAATCCTGCAGAGGCAAAACGGGGGCTTACGCAGGGGTGTCCCCTGTCACCCTTATTATTCATGATGTACCTACAAGGATTAGAGGCCAAATTAGAGGGAAGTGGACTAGGCTTCAACCTCTCTTTTGTCAAACAAGGAAAACTCATTGAACAGGCACTACCAGCATTGATGTACGCAGATTATATAATGCTAATGGCAGACAACAAGGGAGATTTGCAGAGATTGGTGGACATCTGCGGTAATGAGCGAGATAGGTTAGATTTCAGTACCAGTAAGGAAAAATCAGCAGTCATGATTTTTAATGATAACGAAGGTAGTGAGCTTAGAATACAGGAGGTCACACTAGAGATAACAGATAAATACAAATATCTGGGCATATGAATAAGCAATGGGACTGAGTACCTAAGGGAACACGAAATATATCTGACGACTAAAGGTAACAGGAATGCAGCAGTGATGAAAAATAGGGCACTGTAGAAATACAATAGGTATGATGTTGTGAGAGGAATATGGAAAAGGGGTCATGGTTCCTGGGCGGACGTTCGGCAATGCGGTCTTGTACATGAGATCAGAAGTTCAAGCAAGATTAGAAATTAAGCAACGTGGATTAGGTAGGCTTGCTTTAGGAGCTCACGGGAATACACCAAATCAGGGAGTACAAGGTGATATGGGATGGACATCATTTGAGGACAGGGAAGCTAGCAGCAAGATAAAATTTGAGAAGCGATTGAGAGAAATGGGGGAGGAGCGTTGGGCTAGGAAGGTATTCAGCTACTTGTACATGAAGAATGTCGATACAAAATGGAGGAAGCGAACCAGGAAATTAACTGGTAAATACTTAGAAAACAGTAGGTGGCCAAACCAAAAAGAATTATCGGTTAAGAAGAAGGTAAAGGAAGCTGAGACCGATATGTGGAGAATTGGCATGATTAAGAAGTCCACACTAGAGATCTATCGAACTTTTAAGTGAGAAATTGCCAAGGAAAGGATCTATGATAATACTCGGGGTAGTTCTCTACTGTTTGAGGCCAGGACGGGAGTATTGCAAACCAAGACATATTGGGCCAAATACGAAAGGGTAGACACGGTATGCAGTGCGTGTGGAGAGGAGGAGGAAACTGCCGAACACTTGATAATGTTCTGTATAGGACTTCACCCTATAGTTCAGGATGATGGCGGAGTTTTTTTTCAAAGCACTGGGGTTTTGGGACAGGGAGAGCAAAATAGACTTTAAGCGGGTAGAACTGTCTAGAAGAAGGTTATCTGACTGGTGGCTAAAGTCAAGGCACAAGTGAAAATTAAACCCTTCACTGCAAATTACCAGTCCTCAACTTCACTATTTAAAGGAAAAAAAAGATAAATATAGTGGTTAGTTCACTAAGTATTACGGCTAGGTGGCGTTAGCCGATGCCCAATCTAAAGGGTAAACCACATCCATCCATCCATCATTTTTGCGCTAGGGCAATATGGTGGCTACTTTAGTAACGGTATAATTAGGGTGGCTATAGAGTTAGTATATAGTTTGTGTACTAGAATATCTAGTACACTATAGTAGCGGACACAGAGGAAGGAAACCTTTCCTTCCTCCGTGGTAGCAGGTGTGGGGGAGTCGCGGTGCACGCTAGCAGGTTTATGGGCGTTTATTCCCGGCACCCTAACGTTACTATAAATATTTCCGCTATGCCGCCAGGTGACCGAGAGGCCTCAACTGGCAAAAAACACGCCAAGCAAGTAAGCTTACATTGTTTATTGACAATCGTGAATGCTGTAGTATACATGTAAACAAGGAACACTGTCTCTCACAGAGTTTACCAATACATGGAAAAAAAGTGATAGCCATCTGTTTATTAATTACCCGCTGAAATTGTGCAACTTTCTCTTGGCTCGTTCAGTCAGACAACGATACTTACACTGGACACCCCTTGCATAGTACTTGACACTGTGCTGCCCATTGTCTGTCTCACCACACATGCTCTCAACAAGTGCAGTGTTATTACGATTAGCATTAGCCGCAATTATATATTTGACAGCGCGTGGGCAAGTAGCACATCACGTTGAATAAAAAGAAATAAAACAAATTCTCATCCGGAATCTGCCTCCTACATGACAACATGCATCCTTGCACCACAATCCCAACCAATGGGATGATCAAATATTTTGGTAGGGAACACTAATTGCTCGCTCTACTGTTCTGTGCCAGCACCGTGTGATTATTTCCTCTTCTTTCACTCGAAACAGTGGCTCGGGGTACGATTTGAAGACAGTGAGAAATTCAAGATCACCGTTCGCAACAGGTTCAATTACCAAGCGGCGATCTTTTATTCAGATTGACTAAAGAAACTACTGCGACGGTACGACAAGCACTAAGAAGTTAGCAGTAATTCTGTAGAAAAGTGAAGTAGGTTTTTGCTAAACTAAGCCCACCAATGAAAACTTTTGCTAATGAATATTTACTTGCTTAGAACCAAGTAGCCCTTACTTTTTTAATTACCTTCAATGTTTTTATGCTTGGCATTCACAGATGAATAACTGAGTTTTTTTTTGTGTGTGTGTGCCAATGGTGCATAGTCATCAAAGACACAGCTCAAACAATGGACAATGGCAGAAGCTGAATTCACATTTTTATTCTTCACTACTTCATAACTGTCTGCCTCACTCTTAACATGGGTATCATACAAAACTAGTCCTTTCGGCTACATATTTCACAGCAATATCAAGGAAATAGCTGTTAGTAGACATTCGAATTATCAACATGTACAAACACTGGCCAACTTGGATTATACCTACTGAGTGCACTCAGTCATTGTTCTTTTTAAAAGTTAACATACCTTTAAAAATGCCTTGCCATGCGTCAGGTATTTTACATAGAACAAATAGTATTACAGTAAAAGATCGTTATTTGAACTCGGTTAAGTAAAAGAGCACAGCCCTGTGTATTGGGGGGTTCTATTAGGGGAAATTTCGACAATTTGAACACATTAGTATCCACAACAGCTAATTCAAACTGGGAACCCCTTGTTTTGCTGCTCGCACAAGTCTGTCCAGAGTGATTACAACAGTTTCCAACAACAAACCAAACTAGCGGAGGGAAACAACAGCAGCATTTCTCAGCAGATGAGATTATACATGCTGATCTGGAGCCCTTGGACAAGCTAGGAATGATGGTCATGGAGTCGCAGTGGAATAAATGCAAGCCAATGTAAATTACTGATTACTCCTCATTTTGACTGCGTTAGCTCTGTCATGTAAACATACATGTTTCGAAGCACAAATACTGACATACGTTTAATCACTAAGGCTCACTGCTTGTGTGCATGTCAGTGCTTGTTTTGGCGTATCATCAGCCTGATTAGACCCACTGCAGGAGAAAGGCCTCTCCCATGATCAGCCAATCAACTTGGTCCTGTGGTTTCTGCTGCCACGTTATACGTACAAGCTTTTTAATATCATTGGCCCACCTAACCTTCTGTATTCACTTATGCGTTTTCCTTCTCTGTGAATCTAGTCAGTTACCCTTAAAGGGCCACTCACCAGGTTTGACAATTTCGAGCTGACAAGCGCAATGCGTAGACGAGGCGCTCATGATCACGTCTGCCTAACTTTGCAACGCTTCGCGCCGCGAAAATGGGTCAAATTTCAAGATGAAAGCTGCTCTCCCTCCCCTCTGCCGGCGCACGCGTAGAGGAGGAGGGCATGACGTAGGCCTAGGAATGGCCCTATGTACACAGCAATGCAGTGACGTTGGTCCTCTATGTAGACGACTCTGCTCTGACGTTGTCAGCAGTATACCACATGGCGAAAATTATTTACCACAACATGCATAGCTCATGTATTTGTTGCTTTAAGAGATGAATAAAACAAAATAAATAATGAGACGCAATAAAAAAATTGTGTGCATTTTTCTTTAATTTTTTTCCCATGAAATGCTACGAGATGCGGGGCTAATGTGCCAGCGTTGCGCATGCGTTCGCGTCCCCACGGTCAGCGCATTGAGCAGACGACCGCTGTAGAACGCTCCTACGCGTTCACGCACTCTACCACGTCTAAGCCAGCGTTTCCAAACCATCCTGCAGAAACAGGCAGAAGGCCACAAAATAACGCTGCTCAACAAAACAACGCTGCTCGCGTGCTCGGGGGCTGGGCTTGTTCTGCACGTCATCTCGTGGTCGGATGCCGGAGAGGGTGAGGAAGAGATTTGGCTTGCGAAGGCTACGCGGAGGAGCGGCAAGGGTTTCGAGCTCGCCTCCTCTCACCCTCGTTTCGTGCCGCTTAAAAAAAACCTGTTTTCTCCGCTCATAATGAATCGATTCGAAAACTTTTTGTGGCAAAACGTTCCTCATCAGACACCCAGCAACTTCCACTGTCTTACTAAAATTCGGTATGGGGCTTGGTTTCTGGCCCTTTAATGACCAGCAGTTATTCTGCCTGCGTACTACGAGCCCAACCCATGTCCATTTCTACTTCTTGATTTCATCTACGATATCCTCAACAAAGATTTGTTCTCTGACCCACTCTGCTCTTTTCTTGTGTCTTAAGGTTACACCCATCATTTTCCTTTCCATCGCTCGCTGCGTCGTCCTCAATTTAAACTGAACCCTTTTTGTAAGCCTCCAGGTTTCTGCTCTGTAGGTAAGTGCGGGCAAGACGTAGCTGTTATATATCATCCTCTTGAGGGTTAGTGACAGATTATCATTAATGATTCGAGAATGCTTGTCGAATGTGATCCACCCATTCTTATTCTTCCCTATTCTTCTAGGTATTTTACTCTCATGGTTTGACTCCGTGGTTTCTACCACTGCAATACATGTCTTGCTTAATGGAGGCACGAGTTCTTGCACAGTTTTTTAAGATGATAGTCTTTTTTTTTAGAACTTTTATAAGGTCACTCCCAACATGCACACGGTATCAGTAACTGTTTCAACACTACTATAGCTGTATCTACCACCGCCTTGCAACAGTCATTACATTCACAGCAATCTATACACAATGTGAAAAAGAAGTGCTGCTAAATATGCACTACCAAAAGCCCATTTGTTACCTAGTTATATGTGATACTCTATGCAAAGTTTGACACATTGAGTGAAGTACAGTATGCACTATCCAAGAATATTGAAGCCTGCACATTTCCTGTAAACTGAGTAATTCATAAAGCAAGAAACAACAATCTGTGCAACCAATTTCGTACAACTTGAACATACCGTACACTATCACTGCTTTTCAGTATAAGGCTTCCATTTGTCCGCCAGGCATATTGGTGGTGCGTGTGGTTGTCACTATGGCAACTGTAGAGCTTCTAACGACTGGATGTCGGTAGCTTGGAAATCAATGGTCTCTCTTTAGTGCAGTTTTCTGAGAAGAAAAAAAAAAACATATCCATGAGCAGGGCAAGCCAGAAACGGTTCAACAAATTATGTTCAATAAATAAAGTGTCTTCAATCATACCTTCCGAGGATTTTGGCCCATGAGCTTGCTTTCAGTGATGACACATTCTACGCTGACTTGAGGTAGGTTCAGAGTGATGAGGCATCCAAGCGTACACCGATATGGGCAGTTCCTTGAAGGCTGCAGTTGGGTTGTAAGAAAAAAAAAAAACAGTCCTGGTTACTCTGGTAGAAAAGCGTGAATGGATTGGTGATGCATGACTAAGAAGAATGTATATGGGAACACTGCATATAAGAAAGGTAGTGTGGACATAACATTGCTGTTTTTGTGTATTTGCCTTGTGGATGGCATTATAATGAATTTGTTTTAGTGAAGTTGTTCAGAGGACAAAGCTAGGTAATTCCCCAAATGGATAGACTATATGTTTCATGCAAATGTAATATGCTTCACTGCAAACGAAAAATGTACAAATGCGTATATATACTAAAGGTTCCTTTGGCTCTACTATGTATTGAATTTATGAGCATATATTGCAGCAGACTCATTTCGAGCAGAAACAGGTAGAACTTAGGCTGTGATCTGTGCTACAAATTTTAGCAGTAAAGATATTTTCCGCAAATGTGACAACAAAGTAAACAATCTCAAACATTCACAAGGTGTGCATCTCATTAGCTGTACAAGTCGAAAAGCATTATGAAATGACAAAAATGTAGCGCATCTAAAAGAAAGGGGCAATGATCACATGCAAAGCAGCGCATTTTCACTCACCGGCGAACACGCCGGCATTGTGCAAGATTATTCCGTCTTCGTAGGCAGTGTCCGAGCGACTTTCCGGCGTTTAATTTTCACGCTGAAAGCAGCGCAGCCGAACGTCGGTAAAACACAGCAGCTGAGGCAAGGCTCTGTTTGGTGTTGCATAAATCAGTTGCCAGACTTTGGGGTGGCTGTTGTCAGACTGCCACTAAATTTAGCGAAAACATTTGCCCTGTAGTTGTGACTTCTCCGTGAGAGTTTGGTGTCGTCTGCGGTGCATTTCGCGAGTGTGTGAGCTACGTTGGCCATTTTAATTAACAAAATGAACGGAAAACGAGCGTTCCAAAAGTCGGGGCGCGTTATCTTGTTGTGTGCACTGCTGTGCAATTAAGAGATCGTGTCTCAGAGTTGAGGAATCAACAACGCGTCGTCCGCCGTGCATTTCGCGAGTGCGATAACTTTTTTGCGAGTGTGTGTGCGACGTAATTAACGCAATGGAACGTGCGTTACAGAAGTCGGGGCGGGTTCTCTAGCTGTGTGCGCAGCTGTGCGATTAAGAGATCGCGTCTCAGTATGAGGAACGACGGGGAAAACTGAATATAGAGTCGCAGCAGGCGCTGCCCCCCCCCCCCACACACACACACACACTTTTTTTTTTTTTCGCAGGTGATCGTCACAGAGCCCCGAGCAATGCCCGGTGTCTCCCAGAGGTGGGAGGGCTCCTTAGTCCAGGAACCCTCTGGCTTCTACTGCCCTCTTGGCCCTGGCGACGAGTTGTTGTTGCTCTTCCAGGTCCTCGAGGGCGAGCTTAGCCTCCCACGTTTCGGTTAGGTCTTCGTTCGTCTGTCCTGCTTCGTTACCAGTCGTGTGTTTTTACAGATTATGTCTGGCACTGGCATGCAAGAAGCAAGTGCGCCAGGGTGTCCGGTACGTTGCAAAGCAGGCACATAGAACTATATCTCGTTGGGTAGAGACGGTGCATTAGGGCCCCATGTGTGTATGTGCTGCTTTGCAGGCATCTCAGTATTACGTTTTCCTCTTTTGTCAGTTTTGGGTGTGGTGGAGGGTATACTCGTCGCTCCAGCCTGTAATGCTGGAGTAACGACGAGTAGGTGTTTTTAACAACTTCCGTCTCTTCAATGACGGGTCGAATGTCCTGTGGACAGGGGGCAGCCCGGCTGACGTGATCGCGGGCAGCGGCGTGGGTTTCCCTGCAGACCCTCGTGTCCTGGCACCCATAATACACAAGTGTATGGGAGTGGAGTGCTTCACCGTTTCAAAATATTGATGGCATTGGCTGAGATACGGCCCTTAGCAAAATTCCTGCAGGCGGCTTGTGAGTCAGTGAAAATCACCGTGGCGTCTGTACATGTTGTGGTTGCTAGAGCGATTGCCGATTCTTCTGCGGCGTCTGAATTGAGTGCGTTGACCGTGGCCGACGCTAATTCTCGGCCTTGAGAATCGACGACGCTGACAGCGTACGCGTTTCTATGCGGATACTTGGCCGCGTCAGTGTAGCGGGCGTCCGGGTCTTGCTTGAACTTTCGTCGAATAGCGTTAGCTCTAGCCTTGCGTCTACTTTTGTGGACAGTAGGATGCATGTTGCGTGGAATAGGTGCGATGGACAGCAACTCTCTAATGTACAGTGGGATGCGCTTTTTCCGGTCTGCATCGGTGATGAACGTGTCGCTGTAGTTGAGGTACCGGAGCACCGACCTCCTTGTGAGCGTCAGCTTGAGCCTCTCCAGCGGACTGTTCCTATGCGCTTCGATGAGCTTTCGCCACGTGTAGTGGACGCCCATCTTTAAGAGACGTTTGGTAGAGGCCATTGGCGGAAGTCCCAGGGCTACTTTAGTGGCCTTTCTTATCATGATATTAAGTTTTTCAATTTCAGCGGTTTTCAAATTCAGGTACGGCGTGCCGTACGTATTGCGGCTCGTGAACAGAGCTTGCATTATACATAGCGTGTCGTGCTCTTTGAGTCCGTTTCGTTGATTCGCAATCCTCTTGACGAGGTGCGTGAGTTGTGATAGTGTCCGTTGAAGTCTCGGTATGGTGGCAGCTCCCGATCCGTCCTTGTGAATGTGAACTCCAAGCACTCGCAGGGTCTCGACTTTTGGAATTAAGGTCCCTTTCAGCGTTACGCTAGGGTCGGGCTCGTCGTATAGAGGGGTCTGCCTCTTGTTCTCGCTTTGAGGACCAGGTGCTCAGATTTCTCGGGGAGCACAGCAGAGACCGCAGTTTCTGAGATACTGTTCGGTGGCATCTACGGCGGTTTGTAGGCAGGTCTCTTGTCTCCCAGTGTTCGAAGCCCTGGTCCAGAGCGTGATGTCATCAGCGTAGATCGCGTGCCGTAAATCAGGTATTTTGTCGAGAATTTTTAGCAGATTGATCATAGCCACATTGAAAAGTAACGGCGAGATGACCGAACCATGCGGCGTTCCTTTTTTCGGTAGTTGGAAGCTTTTGCTGCGGATGTTGCATACGCCCACAGTTGCCGTACGGTCCGTCAGAAAGTTTCTGACATACGTGTAGGTTCTAATGCCGCAGCCAATGCCTTCGAGGTTGTTGATGATCACGTCGTGGCTGACGTTATCGAAGGCCGCCTTGGCGTCGACTCCGAGTATGGAGTACTTTCTTCGATGGGTGAAGTATTCAAGGAGGTCTTCTTTGAGTAGTAAGAGCACGTCGTGCGTCGAAAGATGCTGCCTGAAGCCAAACATGGTGTCCGGTAGGTGTCCACTATCTTCCAGGTACTGGGTTAAGCGGTCGTGCACCATGTGTTCGAACAGCTTTCCCGCGCACGAGGTGAGAGAAATCCGGCGTAGGTTCTCGATGCCGACCGGTTTGTTAGGCTTAGAGATCATGGTGATTTCCGAGTGCTTCCATACCGCAGGTAGCTCTCCTTTATCCCAGCAGTCGTTGTAATATCGGAGAAGAGCCGTGGTGGCTGGTTGCGGTAGGTTGTGTAAGTGCTTGTTGACAATCCTGTCCATTCCGGGGCTGGTATTTCTTGTCAACTTTGTTAGCTGTGTGCAGTTCAGCCAGGCTGAAGGGCCGGTCTAGTTCAGTGTTTGGTGCGCCAGCGTATTCTTTGGTGTGAATTGAAGCCCCAGTGGGTGCATCGCCACAGAAGCTTCTTTTGTAATTCTTCTAGGAGGTGTTCTTCTGTACCGGCGTAGTTTCGAATAAGCCTCTGAAGGTGCTGCTTCTGTGCAACCCCCCCCCCCCCCCTGAAAAAAAAAATCCTGAGTAGCCATGGGCCGAATGTTTACAGTTGGCGAAGCTAAATATAGCGTGTCTCTGTACTAATGCGCATTGTAAATTTCACCTTTTCGACAGTATGAGGTCTCGAAACTAGTTCAAGTCTAACGTATACGTAGAGACTGCCGAAAAACGACCGAAGATTTAATCGTGGTTTTGATACCTCTTGTTGTAGTTCACCAGTAGCTAGTTATGATTTGGCGCAGTCAAAGCGCTGCTTTGAGCGATAAGCTAGGCGGATCCGTGCAAATTCTGATTTCGATGTGTGTGTGTGTGTGTTTGGGCAGCCCCTTGAAACAGTGAATGTCCTGCGGCAGTTTCAGCGTGCCTGCATATTCACTCGTGCTCCATTGCGCGTATCAGCTGTGCATACACTGATAAAAACTCAGAAACCCATTAAACACACTAAAAACTAGCAATTACACGCTTTCGCAGGCTATGGCACGCGCGCTTTCGATGCAGGCGCTCCCGGATGGATGGATGGATGGATGGATGGATGGATGGATGGATGTGTCTGTACCCTTTAGATCGAGTGGCGGCTAACGTCACCTAGCCGTAATACTAAGTGAACTAACCATTAGATTTATCTGTTTTTTTCTTTGAATAGTGAGGTTGAGGATTTGTACTTTACAGTGAAGGGTTTAATTTTCACTCGTGCCTTGACTTTAGCCACCAATCAGATAACCTCCTTCTAGTTAAGTCTACCCCCTTAAAGTCTATTTTGACCTCCCTGTCCCAAAACCCCAGTGCTTTGAAAAAAACTGCGCCATCATCCTGAACTATAGGGTGAAGTCCTATACAGAACATTATCAAGTGTTCGGCAGTTTCCTCCTCCTCTCCACATGCACTGCATACCGTGTCTACCCCTTCGTATGTAGCCCAATATGTCTTGGTTAGTAATACTCCCGTCCTGGCCTCAAACAGTAGAGAACTACCCCGAGTATTATCATAGATCCTTTCCTTGGCAATTTCTCACTTAAAAGTTCGATAGATCTCTAGTGTGGACTTCTTAATCATGCCAATTCTCCACATATCGGTCTCAGCTTCCTTTACCTTCTTCTTAACCGATAATTCTTTTTGGTTTGGCCACCTGCTGTTTTCTAAGTATTTACCAGTCAATTTCCTGGTTCGCTTCCTTCATTTCGTATCGACATTCTTCATGTACAAGTAGCTGAATACCTTCCTAGCCCAACACTCCTCCCCCATTTCTCTCAATCGCTTCTCAAATTTTATCTTGCTGCTAGCTTCCCTGTCCTCAAATGATGTCCATCCCATATCACCTTGTACTCCCTGATTTGGTGTATTCCCGTGAGCTCCTAAAGCAAGCCTACCTAATCCACGTTGCTTAATTTTTAATCTTGCTTGAACTTCTGATCTCATGCACAAGACCGCATTGCCGAACGTCCGCCCAGGAACCATGACCCCTTTCCGTATTCCTCTCACCACATCATACCTATTGTATTTCTACAGTGCCCTATTTTTCATCACTGCTGCATTCTTGTTACCTTTAGTCGTCACATATATTTCGTGTTCCCTTAGGTACTCAGTCCCATTGCTTATTCATATGCTCAGATATTTGTATTTATCTGTTATCTCTAGTGTGACCTCCTGTATTCTAAGCTCACTACCTTCGTTATCATTAAAAATTATGACTGCTGATTTCTCCTTACTGAATCTAAAATCTCACCTATTTCCCTCATTACTGCAGATGTCCATCAATCTCTGCAAATCTTCCTTGTTGTCGGCCATTAGCACTATATCATCTGTGTACATTAATGCTGGTAGTGCCTGATCAATGAGTTTTCCTTGTTTCACTAAAAAGAGGTTGAAGCCATTTCGACCTCCCTCTAATTTGGCCT